AGCTGAATTTTCAGCATCATTACTCCAGTCTTCAGTGTCACATGATCCTTCAGAAATCACTCTAATATGATGATCTGATGCTCAAGAAACATTTCTGATTGTCAAAGTTGAAAACAGTTCATATTTTTGTGGAAACAGTGATACATGTTAAATTGAAAGTTCTAAATAACTGCATTTACAAATAGAAATCAAACATTCTAAATGTCTTTACTGTGAATTCTGATCAGTGTAATGCTATGTGTCTGCCCTCAAACTTTTGAACAGTAGTGTATATCTGACCTGACTACATACAGGACTGTGAGGAGACAATCTTCCTTTAATTTTCCCAGATCACAGACTACACCATGCTTCCGGACACAGGGAGTCTGTCTGACCGTCTGAGAGTGTGTCTGCAGGAGGGAGACGAGAACCCGCGAGATTTCACATCCCTGTTTGACATGTCTCTGCTAAAGCTGCACACAAACACTCTTCCCTCTGTCCTGGAGTAAGATTCACATTTCCTAAAGACGCTTCCATGTTGTGTTCTGACATAAACACACACAGTCATGCATTGAGCTGTTGTTGTGTGCTTGAGTTTATAGAAAACAGTGTCACAAGGGCATGAGTTTGTGTGTTCACTAGGAGTGTAACGATACCCTCATGTCACGATTCGATACCAAGATACCATATTATTGCAATACTCCAAGACACATGGCAAAATGTTAACAAAAAGTGAACTGTTGATTAAAATGCTAAATTTGGTGTTACATTGTGTGTGTAAATGAATAGTCTTGGACTTGGTGCTGAAACCCAAAGCACAGGACAATAGAGACACCAGAATAACAATATTCATGATTCTGAAGCTGAAAATACTGAATTATTTTAGACGAATATGCTTTGAATCTTTCACTGACTAGATATATTTAAAATAATGTCGCCCACTTTTTACTGGTAACATCAGACATTTGGCATTATTAGGACGCACAAATATTCCCCACTGCATTATTATACATATTCAACATTATATATAGTAGTTTAAAGTAGTACTGACACTAAAACTCTGAAAACTTAATTTTCTCACACAGTATTTTTTATTTTGGGTGAAATATACACAAAACATATTGCCACTATCCACGACACATATTGTTGCGTTTTTGCATTACACTACTAATGCTTGGCCAATCAGACATGCATTGAAATATTAATAACTAATGAATGTCTGTATTTTTAGTGCTTACAAGCTGCTGAATGTAAAACATGAAGCTCTCCAGCTGATCACACCTCAGTTTGAAACTCCTCTTCCTCTTCTGCAACCGGCCGTGAGTCCGTCTTCATTACATGAGCTCTCCACAACACTGTCCACTGACTTTATTTTCTCTAAATGTTTTCACTCCATTTCAACTCAGTGCATTATTATAACGTGCTTTGATAATTCCCTGCTGAAAATGCCTTAAAGTGTGTGTGTAGATGATCTGTGTTTGACTGAGGCGTTGTTTTGTGCTCAGGTCTTTCAGCCAGCGTTTAGGGACCTTCGCCCACCCATGCTTGACCTTTTTGACCTTGACGAGACCTTTTCCTCTGAGAAAGTTAGGCTGGCTCAGCTCTCAAACAAATGTGAGTTTCCACCATTGGCTCCGAATGCACAGAAAGATTTGTAATCCTGTCATTGTCTCGAGTTTGAGCGGTTGGCGATTTGTAAATGGTTGCGTTGTCTTCTCTAAGGTACCGATGATGATCTTGAGTTTTATGTACGTAAATGTGGAGACATCTTAGGAGTGACAGGGAAGTTGGACAAGGACAAAAGAGATGCCAAGCACATACTGGAGCACGTCTTCTTCCAGGTGGTGGAGTTCAAGAAGCTCAATGTAGTAAGTTGGACACACATAAACATTTCCATTTCATTTGGCCATTCATTTAGTCTTTAATTTAAAAATTCCATTGGTATTGTCATTTGTGCACCCACATGTTTCAAACCTGTAGGATTTTCTTTTTTCTGTGAATCACAAAAAGGAAAGGATAGGCAAAATGTCCAAGCTTTTCCACTGTTCCACACAACGTGAGTGGATGGTGATTTATACTGCAATGCTCAGAAAAACAGTAGCCTGAGATCTTAAAGTCCCCCTGTGGTGAAAATCCAGCTTTTAATGTTGTTTATATGTCTATGTGGTGTTTTTAATATGCTTTAAGACAAACCATGTGTAAATTCATAAGTCGACAGCATTGCTGAGTATTTTCTCCTTAAAACTGCAGTGAACCAAAGACAGTCTCAAAAACACGGTTTGAAATCACTGGTGTTTCTGACGTCACAAACTACCTTGTAACCAATCAGATCAACGTGTGATCGTCAACCAGTGGATCTCTGAGCTGAGTGAGTGAGTGGAGGCAGGGCTCATTTGCATATTCATAGAACCGCACATACTAAGGCAAGCTATTTTAAGGCAAAAATAACGTTTAAATATGTCATTTTAGAGAACAAAGATGAGTTTTAAGTGATAAAATTATTGACCACAGGGGGACTTTAAATTTCATTTAAAATACTATAGAATATCACCATAGATTAAATAATGTTACACACAAGCCTTAAGGACTACTTGTATGATATTTGTGTGATGTTTTATTGGTTCTTTATGGAGTTATGGAAAAGAGCAGCTTGGACATTCTGCCCAAAATTTATTTTTTTGTAAAATAATTTGTGGTTTGAACTACTGTAAATGACGGGCAGTAAATTACAACATTTTCATTCTTGGGTGAATTATTATCTTCAAGTCGTCATGAAATTGAAGCCACGTTACTCTTTTCTTCCCTATTGTGCCGTATATCCGAGTGAAACGGCTTCTGGAAAAAGAGCAAATGTGGGCGGGGCTTGATTTTGTCTGTGGGGAATTGATTGGATGGTTGTGGTTTGCTATTGGTGGATCTCATGTGAGTGACAGGTTGCTCCGCCCTCATCATCAGAGAAGAGAAGAGATGCTGCAAGAGGGAGAGGAAGTTATTTTGATTTAATATTTTGAGACACATGAATTTAAAACAATAATGATGTGCACCGATAAATAATTTATAATAAAACGAGGGCTGTTTTCGGCTAAGGATTTTCATAGTCGAATCTGATTCGTTAGATTTTGCCGTAGTCGACTGATAGTCGAATCTTTTTTTTTTTGATAGCAGCCAGACGTTCGGTTGAATAACTGTTCGTCTGTTAAAGGACAACTCGCTCTACGTTTATTTAAAATGAACTGCAAGACAACTAGAAGTGAATGTGCTTTCCATTAAATGACAAAAAAAACGTTGCAATGAACGTGCTTTGTTTTAAATAAATCACACACAGTAAACAAAACCTTAACAAAAAAACTCTCCCGAATCATCTCCAGCACTCAGCCTCCGGAGCACCACTAACTCCACCTCCGTTTCCCTCGTAAGATGATATTAGTATTTAAACATTCTCTATGATAAAAAATGTTTGTAAAAAATATTTTAATAGCACGGTTTTGGCGGTTATAGAGTTCTAATGACGGTGTTCAACTATAACCGTCGGTCTCACGGTTATATAATAACCGTCACACCCCTCATAACACTTGCCTACTATTCGACTATAAGGTTCAAAGTCGAATCAGACCGCTCCGAATCGAATCGTCAAATCCTCGACTATTAGAAGTCAGCCCTAAATAAAACACTGCAATATTCCATAAAAAAAATAATAATAATTGTCCATTTTGATTTTATGGTGGCTTTAAGATTGCTTCTTTATCCTCTTTCCTCAAGGAGCATGACATCGACACCACAGAAGCAAGATTCAACATGTATTGAAGCAGACACACCGTGGAGCTGCCGAGTGTTGGAGCAAGGACTTGATTTGGAGATGTGTGTGTGTGTGTATGTGTATGTATATATATATATATATTCCACTCAATATAAACACTCAAACTGCAAGATGTGGTTCATCAGAACTTTCCAAGCCTATGGTTTAAAGAATCCACAAGCTTTCTTGTAACATTTTTGAGTTTTTTTCAATAAATATATGAGCTTTGTTTTCTCATGTTGGAACATATTTGTATACACACATTGGCATCCAAATCCAATATACGAGATTGAGAAATTTCTGACATCAAGCATGTGAGACTTAATGCAAAAGATTGATTTTGTTTCAGTGGTTGTCAGTTCTGGTCCGGAGTTCCCCTTTGTTGAGGTCTCTAATGACGACAGCGTTGTCAAAACGGCTCCCGTTCATATGGATCCAGGAACACTACACTCCTAGACTGAAGGCATAACACCACTGTTTTCTCAAATTCATGTTGTTGTAGTTTACACGGAGATGAAAGCAGTATTGTTTTCAGAAACTTGCACTTTGAAACCAGTTTTCAAAAGTTTGCATTTTCAGGGCCCCAAATCGCAATAAGTTTTCAGGTGTAAAACGGCCCCTACAATGTGCCGTTCTGGGGCTCCTCCGGGACCAGTGTTGGGAACCACTGCTTTATGTCATTGGCACATGATTGAGAGAATATTGAAACCTAAACATGTTTTTGATCCACTGCCATCATGTAAATCATTCAAGTGCTTCATGCACTGCAAAAACAGTCTTCAGGATTTCCTTGTTTTCTAGTACAAATATCTGAACTTAATTTAACTTGAGTAGCAAAACTGCTTAACTGATGTTAAATCCTGTTTTCTGACAAACTGATCAAAATGAAATGAGTTTTTCCTTAAAACAAGAACGAATAACTGTCAGTGAGGTCAGAAAAATAATCCTGTTTTCCCTTTGAATCAAGTTTATTTGACGGTTAGGGTTTCTCGCAGATATTTTCTTATTTTGATTTTTTTTTCTTCAGAGATCAATACTTTAGGTCTTAATTTATCTAGTAAATCTTGAGGTAAGACTGGAAAACAAGACCATACTTTGTAAGAAAACTCTTATTTCCCTTGTTCCCCCCCCCCCCAAATTAATACAATCTTCAGTAGATAGTTTGTAACATACATTTACAATGAATACAGGGCATTTCAACACTTTATTTAATGAAAAACATTCAATAAATAAATGTTTAGTACAAATACATTTACATAAATCACAGGTGCCATTCTAGTAAGCATCACATCATCTGTAAAACAAAGCAGAAGGTTAGAACCACCTCATTACTTCAAGGATTACTATTAGCATCAGAGTTGGGACTCATTACAAGTAACTCGAGTTATGTAATCAGATTACTTTTTCAAGTAACGCATCTCTTTTCAATTTACAACAAAATATCCAAGTTACTTTTTAAAATAAAGGTAGTTACTTTTTCACATTTATTGACTGACATCTCTCCTGTCCCCATGTTGAAAGAAATAAAGTGGTGTGCGTGTAAACATGATGGTTATTTTAGTTCTAGACTAAATGAACATGCATTTACTCCTCTCACTTGCACAAAAACATTCAGTATTCCTCAAAATGAATAAAAACAGTAAAATGCAATCTCAGAATTTTACACAAAACCTTTATAATTAACTATATTAAATAACACAAATATACTTTATGCACTTAATCTCACTTTGCTGCTGCTGACCTTCAATGATATAGTTCAACCAAATAAACAAAATTCCTTCCGATTAGATTTAGAAATAAGATTGAACTTGCTTCTCCTGTATCCTATTATTCTTTAATCCAGAACAGCTTAAAGGTTTAAATATGCCTCTACTGTACAGGAGTAAATATGCATTTCCTTCAGCCTGAGGCTTATTCAGTGTGAAAGGGCCTTTACATTTGCCAAAAATAGAACTTATTTTTATTTATTAAAAAACAAACAAGCCCAGCTCAGATAAGTAGTAACGCAAAAGTAATGTAACAAATTACTTTTCATAAAAAAGTAAAGCAATTAGTTACTTTTTTGGGAGTAACGCAATATTGGAATGCATAAAAGCAACTTTCCCCAACACTGATTAGCATGCATACACACCTAAAACAGGGCGTCCATCAAATGGCCAAGTTGGATGAACTCGGTTCCTCTCTGAGATCTGGGATTGCAGGAGCTTGACCCGATCCCTGCCAGACCATTTCCCTCCAGGAGCGCTGAAGATCCCCTGAAACATTAGGCCCAGCCCACAGCGAGATCTCAGGAGGCACCGAGGGGTTAATGGGACTCCAGGTGGACTCCAAGCATGACTTCGGGCTGTCGACTACGGCCTTCACGAGGGACACTTCCCATGAGGGGTGTGTGGCGGTCAGGTCGACGCAGGACAGGTCCAGCGAGCTCCCCAGGACCGGCTTCTGGAGCTTCACCCTCTCGTAGGGTGTGGAGGACTTGTCTTGCGCTGGACTGTTGCCTGGGGAGAGAATGTTCTTCAGGGCAACTAAAGGTGAAAGAAGACTCATGGAGTAGTTCAGACACGCGCCGGGCTCTGAATACTCCAGCACAACACCTTTACTCGGCTTCAGGAACCCGTCGGATGAAACCACTGATGAAGATAGACTCTGGTCTGTGCAGAACCCTCTGTCAAAGTCAGACATCGTCGACAGGCCCTCAGAGCTCCTGGTCAGCTCTGCAAAACAAGCAGGGTTTAGTTATGCATGAATACAGCGTACTATTGAAAAAAGTATGGTTAGATTTGATTTAAATGTCAAAATGTGTATTTGCATTAGGACTTCACCAGGTCTATCCCGTCCTAAATCCATTAGGAAAGTGTGGGGTTAATTAATTACACTCAGGTTGCATTTATAGCTGTGCCTTGATTGGGTCATTACCTAGTTCTCCAACTATTGGCTCGTTTAATCTATAGTGATCGGGTAATGATCTCGATCAGCCGAATTAACTAATCTGTATTCAAGTAATAATAGTTTATTATAATAATTTGTTACATCTATATTGTGATTTTAGTAATAATTAAAGCTAGTAAATTCGTTCACCGGAGCGAGTAAAATTAAAACTATATAGATATTTTCTCTGAACGCGTCCACATACGCAATATTTGATTGTTATAATGAAACAAACAAAAAAAAAGGAAAAAAGAAAGATAAGTTATATATGAGAAACAGAAATTAGTTACTTGAAACCACTTCTTTAACGTAAAATTTGAACGTGAATCAATTCCACACATTGTTAATTAAACAAATTATACATCCTAAAGTTGGTCCCTACTTTTCTATCAGGAATATAACCATAGTTGCAATTACTCTTGTCTAGCATGTTTCGATTAAACAAATATTTACAAATTATTGATTTTAACAACTGGAATATATTCAAAACAAATACATACATTTTTCTGACATATTTTGGTCATTTTAAAGTACATTAAATCGCTTTGGTGTGATTTACGACATCAAACATAAAACTCATTATTATATTATCTATTTATTTATTTATTAGAGAAGCGCGTACATGTGTTCCGAGCGCGCACGCACTACGTGCTGTGCTCATGAAGCTGCGCGCGCAGCGTGTGTTCGCTGACGTCACTCGCGGGAATGGCTGAGAAAAAGGAGCGCGAGATAGGAACTTGGGCGCGCAGTGGATGTTCAGCTGGAGAGTTGTTGCGCGCTTTTTAATGAAAGCTCTTACTGTATTTGATCGACCATCTCATTAACATCACAGATGTTTTTGCGATTGTATGCTGTACGCACTGTGTCCTCGTAAAGACCTGTTTCATTGGAGCATTTTTTTATAAAACATTAGGGAAATGTCGTGGTGGGCGCGCGGGTAAGTACACAAAGTTTATTATTTCTCGTATGCTTTATATGATTGTGTAAAAGAGTTTTAACGAAGTGCAAGAAAATGAGCACGAAATATGTATTCGACATAATGAATGAGCTTGTAGAGATTGTTGACATGAAGTTTGTGAAGGCAATGTCGAGCCCGCCCAATATAAGAGCACAAAGAGCTGAGACAGTCGCTAGACTTCAGCATTAACGTTATATCCACGAGTTTGACTTCACTGTCTGACTGTGTTTGCAGGGTCATTGAGTAACCCAAACCAGTGCAATGTGTAAGTTTGGATAAAAACTGACATATGCATTGAGAATATTAGATTGAGAGTAACATTATCTGAATGTGAGCCTTTACATTTGCACGATTCTAGAGCCCTGAAAGTGTTTTTATGATCACTGCTTTAGTTAAACATGATGCTGAGATTTCATCTAGTTTTGATGAGTATTTTCTGGCATACACACACACAAGTCAAGATGTAAACACACTTCCCTGCCTAATGGTGTCAGTGTAACCTCAACACAGTGTTGCCAGTGTTTGCTGATCTGTGTACAGTGCTGTTTTCCCAACCCTTAACATCCGTGTGTGTGTGTGTGTGTGTGTGTGTGTGTGTGTGTGGACAGGGAGGATGAGGAAGAGGCCATGTGTCAGGACACAGACTCTGATGTTGCTGATCAGAAGGATTGTGGGAAGGTGAAAGTGAAGTGGACCCAGGAGGAGGTACGCTTCGGTTCAAGGTCTTTTATTGACGAAATCTTTAGTAACATCATACATCACCAAAAGATGAGATTATTCATAACATTCAAGAATCAGTGCAAAAAAACCTCACCTTCATGTTCTTCCGAATCCATCAGTCTAATCAGGGTCCGAAATTAACTTTTTGGCTCACCTGCCACGGGGAATGGTAGATGAAAAAATCCAATAGCCAAGCATATTTTTTACCGGCCAAAATAATAAACAGCCTTTTTGTGTCACATATACATTAATTTATATATAGGCTATATTTAAACATTTGTCATATTTCTTGTCTATTTTCCATTTTTACTTTTATTTACACACATATTACACAATTTACACACATTAAAATAATATTTTTGTGGTGGTGCCTATGAAAATAGTTATGTACAAATTAAATGTATTAATTGTATATTTAATAAAATATATGCAATAATAATATACTATTATTATTTCAAAAAAAAAAAAAGTTTTACTCTGCCTATTTTTTTTTTACTCCATTCACTCTGACTGATCCGATCAGTAACTGAAGGAATGGAAATATAAGTTGCTTTAACCATTCATTAAAATGAACCGGTTCAAATGAGTCATTAGTTCGCGAATTGGACTTGTCTTTATCGGATGTGTACGCGTTGTGTGATTATCCCGGCAGTTGGGACATCCCACAAGATTTGTCAACACAGAAAACATTTAATCACTGGATAGATTTTTTCGTTTATTTAAAGTGTGGTTTATGTCAGCAAAATGTGCGGAACGATTTTCAGAGAAGATTAGGTAGCCTATTTTAGCACAATTCTTCACACCCAGCAGTAATTCAGGAAAAAATATATCCGAATGCTCCACATGAAACTATGGTCTTCCGGACTTTTACCATCAAGGACAAGGAGAGAGAGAGAGCAAGACAGCGCTTAGGAGACGGTGAAGCCTTGTTTATACTTTCGCCTGGCTCCGAAGAGAAAGAGTGCGTGCGCTCAACCGGGGCGCTGTCTCTCTGCTCGTTCTTCAGTTGCGGGATAAAAATTCGCTTTGGAGCAGGACGAGCATCGATAAGAGGACTCGTTAACTCGTTACATTACTATTTTGGTATGAACATTCACCCGCCAGTGTGGCGGATAGCCTTTTGAGATTTACTCGCCAAACGGAAAATCTACCCGCATTTGGCGCTTGGCGGGTGTTAATTTCGGACCCTGAGTCTAATGTTTACACCCAAAAACCCTGATCAAATATGATAAACGGAAGCTCAAACACAAGTTTATATGTGATTAAAAAGTCTTCAGAAGACTAAATCATTGAGATTTGTATCAGTATAACAGACTACTTACATAAATGCATATAAATGTCACTCTTTATCTTCCAAATATGTCTGCAAGATGATATTTAAATGCTTAAACCGCTCGAATCTAGTCGATTCTTGTTTCTGGTTGTTCGTACTTTCAGTGGATGGACAGAATTGATCTGATGAGAGAATAAATACACCTTTTACTGTTGCATGTTGTCCAGCTTCAATCAAAAAGATTGTTGTCATTGTCAAAAAATAAAACATTGTATATGCTTTGATTGCGTTTGGTTTTTTCAGGATGATAAGCTGCGAAAACTGGTTCTGAACGCTGGACCAAACGATTGGAAACACATTGCTGGCTTTCTACCTGTACGTATGTTAACCTCCATGATGAGATATTCCTGGCTTTGTTGTTCGTGTCTCCACATTAAGATTTCAATGTTAATGTGTCCATTTATTTCATTCAAAGAGCCGGTCGGAGCATCAGTGTCAGCATCGCTGGTTCAAAGTTTTGGATCCGGATCTTGTCAAAGGACCCTGGACCAAAGAGGAGGACGAGAAGGTGCGTTTTCAACACAGCATCTGATTCACAAGTTATTTTATATTACAATCCACGTTCAGGCCTTCCTATGATCCTGCAATTCTCTTGTTTACCCCTGTGCTGTAAATCATTTTCCTTTTTTGGTGTTCGGGGTCAAAAATGACTGTCCTTTTAAATCTCTCATTATGCGTTATTATGGCCAAATACTGGGTTCAGTCTTTAATACCCCTTTTCCACCAAAGCATTTTGAGAGCCGGTTCGGAGCCGGTGCCTACTCGAGAACCAGTTCTTTGCGTTTCTACAGCCTACAGACTCAAGTTCCAAGATGTCAGCGCCATATCGGGACACTGGCAGCTTCACTTCTGACCAATGGAAAAGAGCGAAGGGGCGTCGTCCATCTTTTTTTACAGTCTATGGTTTCGACAGCCAAAGAACCGGTTCTCGGCCAGGAAAATTGGTTCCAAAGCGGCACTTTTACCACGTCATGCTTACGTCGGGGGCTGGGGGCGGGTTACTGTGAACAACAACACGACGGGAATGGGAACGCTAAGACGTATGGCGACGTACACAGTGACGTAACGACGTCGTTCGCTGGGCTCTCTAGTCAGTGGAAAAACAAACAGGTTCTGGGAAGGTTCGCAAGTTGAACCAACTTTGAACCAGCACCAGTTCTGAACCAGTTCTTTTTTGGTGGAAACGAGGTATTAGTGAACTTTAGCACAGGTTTTGTATTTCTTCTTGGAACTGATTGATTGTAGCCTTAATTGTCTGAGTTATATTTAGTTATAGTTATAAATTGTTGTATTTTTTTTAGGTGAATAAACTTAAGTGAACTATTTTCACTGAGGTGCATGAGCTCAGATCAATGAGGCCTGCGATCAGTCAAGAGGAACTACAAAACCTGTGCTAAAGTTGACAAAAACACTGAATACAATATTTGACAAGATACAGAGGGGTTTATGAGCAATTTTCTTTTGTAGGTCATATTTTTGGACCAGGAACACCAAGTGTAACAAGGTGGGGAAAAGCACAAAAAGTATAAAAAAAAAAAAATTAGGAAGTTGTTTTTCTGTGTGTGCAAAGATATTACGTTTTAGTCCAATGCAATAAAAAATCCTCTCCTAGCCAAAATGACAAACACAATATGGGGTTAAAATGTGATTTACAAGTTTGGAAAAGTTGTAAATCACATTGTTGTAAAATTACAATATGTTTTTGTTTATACATTTTCCTCGTTTCCCATTTTGTCTAATTTCAGCCTATGAATTAAAGTGCCCCTGTTATGCTATTTTAAAGGTTCCTGGTTTTGTTTTGCAGTCTCGTACAGGTTTTAGAGCTGCATGATTAATCGTTAAAAGATCACGATCTTGAGTCAAACACCCACGCCATCTTGTTCCTAAATGAACAGCGTGTGTTTCCCCGCGGCCCATGTTGATGAACGACGGGTGTCCACTGGCCGCTCCGCTTGCGAGCGTTTTCAGATCCTTTGGAAGTTGAGCTTCACATTCGCACGTGAGTGTAAAGCTCAATTTCCATAGGAATTAAAGTGTCAGGAACCCCCCCTCCTGTTTTAGCCTGGTCGTTCACACCTATGAGTTGAAAAGGTCTCCAGAAATGGGTGTGTAAAGCTATGGAAAAGTGGGAAAGGGAGAGACAACAACCAATAAAACACAGACCTGCAATACACTCTCCTTATACAGACACATGACTATAAAATATGACCAAAGAGAGAAAAAAACACAACCAGTCGATGTAACCCTATATGATAAGAAACTTTCAAGAACGAGGGAGAAACGCTGATAAAATTTTCATTACATTCACGAGCACTGCAGTCTCTGAACAAACGACATGCGTCAGTTAAACAGAAAAAATAGACATTTTTGTCAATTTTTCTTTGAATTTTCGGTCTATATCATTGTCTTCTGTGCATCAGAATAACTCCTCGTGTCATCGCAGACGTACGGCTGTATCAGTGTCCTTATTTGAACACATTTCCTTTGAGGAAGACGTGTGCATACACACTGCTAGTTCATGTTTAGAGCACTAGAGTATATGAAATATGTCCATCATAACTTGAAACACGCTTTCTCCGGTCCGTATATGATCTATATGATCCGCATTGCGAGCGTTGTTAAACTCATCGCAGCGTTCGGCGCAGAAACCGCTCTCATGCATTGAATTCTCCGCTATAATGTGATCTCATGTGTAATCCAGCGCAGTGATTGGCTTAAAAGAGTTCATTCTCATGAGTAAATGCAGAGAAGCGTTCAGAACCGGCTAACGGAGAATCGTGCCACACACACACTCCGGAGATCAAACTTTGCAGATCTTTTACAGTCACAAACAGCTCTATTACACACTCCATGAAAAATAATATCCCAAAAAGCATAATAGACTCATTTAGATAGATCTATAGATCACTGCTTGTCATACAAATTCAAATCCACACAGTAATTCCTTAACCAGTAATCCTGAACCATCAGAGTAGCTGTAGAAATGTGTGTGTGAAGCCTTGCTTGAATGTGTTGTGTGTTTAGGTGATTGAGCTGGTGAAGAAGTACGGGAACAAGCAGTGGGCGATGGTGGCCAAGCACCTGAAGGGGCGTCTGGGGAAGCAGTGCCGGGAACGCTGGCACAACCACCTCAACCCTGACGTCAAGAAGTCCTCCTGGACCCCAGACGAGGATCTCATCATCTACAAGGCGCACTGCATGCTGGGAAACCGCTGGGCCGAGATCGCCAAACTGCTGCCTGGACGGTGAGATCTGCGAAACGATCTACTCTCATAATCGCCTTCAAAACCCCATAAACAGGCTTTAACCCTGTCAAACTTGACATGAAATAGATCTATACTTTATTCATCCTTCTCAGGAAATTAAAACATCAACCACATTCAGTCCTCGCACACAGACAACATCAATCTATACCTGACTACATTCATAAAACAACTCTCACTAAAGCATTCTATACTCTACACACAAAAGACGTATATACTCTATACTTCTAAACTCTGTCTCCTCTTTCCACCTGTGTTGCCATTGGCTTGGCTCGCTTAGTTGGAGACATTAAATTTCACATTTAATTTAATATTCAACAATATTATTGATCTCCTGCATTGACACTATTATACAAGAACTGAACTGAGCTGGACAATGACATCATGGTTTACTCCAGAGCGGCTATATATATAAATAAACTAAATTAACTCAACTTTTTTGAACAAAATGAACCATCACTGAACTTACTTAAGCTGGACTGTGACGCTATTTTCTTCTGGAAACAAACTTTGTTGCATTATTTTTAGGGATGTCCCGATCAGGTTTTTTTGCCTCCGAGTCATTTGATTTTGAGTATTTACCGATACCGAGTCCCGATCCGATACTTATATAATACATAAAAAAAGAATAAAGAAGAGAGAAAAAACAGATCCAGGATGTTCCTTATTTTTTATTTAATTCACCTTATTTTAACGTTCAACAACTCTGTTAACAAACAGAGCACTTCTGTGAGGCAGCTTGAACAATCAAGTAATAAATAACATAAAATCTTCACTTTTGGACTTTAGTGCAACAGTAAATATAGAAAAAGTCTAATATAAAAACAAATAGCAACTCAACTTAAAATACCCGGCAGGCATGTAAACAAAAAATAAAAATGTTTTAAAAGTGTATAATAAAAATAATGAGAATATATATAGGCTATACATTAGGGGTGTAACAGTTCACAAAACGTGCGGTTCGATACGATACAGCAAAAAGAAAGAAATGCCAGAGAAATTTCCTATTTATTAAAAGAAACTATTTTTAAATAAGTTTGAGTTTGAGTTACTACATCTTGAAAGTTTCAGGTTTATAAATGGGGGTAATCTTTGTAGGATGAACAAATAATGTTTTGGTAATCACATTAAAAATAACATTTAAATATATATTTATATAATATTTGAGTTTTGAAGTGCAACATTAAAGTCCCTGTAAAGGCAATTTCAAAAAAAAATTCTAAACACATTATAAATGTTAGAAATGTGTTGCTAAAACATATTACAAAGACTGTGAACTGTGAGGTACTGATTTGTGGAGTTAGACCGTTAAACAGTTTTTCACCATTGCTATTTTCCGGATTTTCTGGGCGGGGCTAAAACAGGGCTCGATGACGCACTGGAGCCCTTGAGCTCCTGGACACGCCCCTACTTGATGACGCACTGTAGCCGCTGAGGCTGGCCGCTCCTAACAATATAGAGCACATTCACATCAGTTTGCCGCTCAATCGCGAGTTACTGTCAGTAGTATTATTAGTAACACAGCCTACAGATTGCTAGCTAGCTATGCCTTCGTCACGGAAATGCGTACTACCTGGATGCGATCACCGGATCACGTACAAAACAGATCGGTGTCCTTATTTAAATTTCCGAAAAACGATTACATCAAGAAGAAGTGGATTAATTTTGTGGAGAGCTGAGGATCACCGCCAACACCCGCCTCTGTAAGTGATCATTTTACACGGGATAGTTTTATAAACTTTCGTCGGAGATAACTGTCAGGGATTCACTGATAATCCGCTGTTACTGGTGAATGGGGCCGAACCGACTCCCGCCTGGCCTTCATCCTCCCGTCGCGCCGACAACTGGTGTCATCGGCAGTGCGTGCCCACTGCCCACCGTGCGAGCATCCATTCCGGCTGTAGAGTTGAGTGTGGCGAGTCGACGACGGCAGCTTTCCCGCGAGTGGGCGTGGTTTCAGCGCAGCCAGTGGACACGCCTCCAGCGTTTGAGAGCAGAGAATACTGCTCATTTCTTCAAGATTTTGATAGCTTATTTTATGTACTTGCTGGCTTTTTTTATCATTCAAATTTGGCTGGGTGACTAATAACAAATTTTTCTGTGGTGTGACAAACTCAAAACACATACTTAATTTTGACTTTACAGGGACTTTAAATCCATGTTCATTCACGGCACAATGTTTCTCCTGGTGTCCACGTCAGCGCCTGTTTGATCTAATAGAGATCTACGGTTAATAACGGAGAAATGTGAATGCTTCTCACTAGATCTTCAGTGGAGAAGGGTTGGCTCTCAGTCTCCACAGGCTACATAAAATATTCATTTTATTATTTTTCGTGTTCGCATTTGAGAAAAACAATGTTACAGACGCGACAGTTCAGCACTACGGACGTGAGCGCTCTGAAAGCGGCACTAAAATATGCTTTGAAACTTTCACATAGACATCAAACAGAAAGCACAAAACCTTTCGTTTCAAAGTGAATTTCGTTTTGTATTAATTGTATCTTAATTTTAATCAATGTTTCATCAACCATTTGCCTGGATTTAATTTATAAGCAGTAAATTTAGCAGACGATAGATAATCTCGACACGGAGGCGCCTGCGGGTGAACTGGAGCTCGTCTCATGAACCGAAACTCAGCGTATAGACCTGAGAATTGAAATATATCTATATTGAAATGTCTACTTTTAAACAGAACAATTCAAAACGAAAGACAGACAGACTCATGTAATCGTATGAAATGTGCATTTCTCTCTGGCGCGCGTTCACTGAAGATCGCGAGTCAGCATCGTCAACTTCATCTTTGGCTGACACTGACTGAAAACACTTGTTTATTAATAAACAATTAAAATGTCTCCTTGCTATATTTGTTGTATTCATAATCATTACTTTTGCCAGTTCTTGTGACAGCTTTTAGGTGCTTTATTGGCAGCGCCACCCTATGAATCACCGCACCCGCATTTTTTAAATTATTCATTTATCGGCCATTATAAATGCCGATACCGATAGTTAGGAAAATGCCTAAAATCGGCCGATAATATCGGCCCGCCGATATATCGGTCGGGCTCTACTGCATAGTGCACCTTTAAAACACAAAACACGTTTTGTAAAGCGCTGTATAAATAAATGTGACTTGACTATAATATATTAACTAATTTAATGAAGTAATAATAATTTAATAGAAATAATAGTCAGGAAAAACTAATTGTGTAAAAGGAACAGTTTGTGTGTTTTTGTTGAGTATCATATTTGATCATCTTTTTTTCTTTTCTTTTTAATCCTCAGGCTTTTATGGCTCATATGGTCTGATTTATATAGTGGGAATATGGGGGAAACGCCTCAGTTTTATTCAGAGGCCCATACTGAGCAAAAATATGCAATTTGTGCAGATGCTGATATTTATATTGACAGAAGGTGAGATGACATTGATTCTTGTAATGTAAATCAATGAGATCTTTATAACAGACTAACATAAACTGCATATAAATCTCAGTCGTCACTCTATATCTGCCAATAATGTCTTCATAAAACAAAGCATTTAAATATCATTTTACTATCAAAGTGCTGTAGTTTTAAATTAAAACATAATGCAATGATGATTAAGAGATGAACAAATAAACTCTGATGATCATTTCTGAGACTCCAACATGATTTTTAACGTTCAAATGTGAACATGGACATGGATAATCCAGTAAGCCTAGGTTGCTTCAGTCCAGTGAGGGTTCATCTTGAAATATTATTTATAATAGTAAAAAGTTATTGTGTTTACTTTATAAAAATCTGAAGGTGGATGTTTTTGCAGTTATTCTAAAAGGCCTTTTTCTTGCTGAATATAAGAGGTCTGGTATAGGGCTGTGCGATATAGCTAAAAAATATCACCATATAATGTTTCAAAACGCTCAGTATCGCTAATTATTGACTTTTTTTATAACCTTTTTTTTTTTTAAGGCAAACAACAAATTATGTTAGTTTTAGCAGTCAAAAAAAAACTTCCTTATGTCTTATATTAAGCTCTTGAACTTAAATAAAATGTTTCAAAATGTGAAAGTGTAACGTAGAACGATCTTTGAGGTAGATCAACATCTGTAATAATTAGTAGAGCCCGACCGATATGGATTTTTGGGGGCCGATACCGATATTAGGTAGTAAAAAAAGCCCGATACCGATATATCGGCCGATATTATTTATGTGTATATTATAATACAGTAGCAATATTATTTATGTGTATTATAGTACAGTATACCAGTCAAAAGTTTGGACACTTTCCTATTGGTGTGTACAAACTTTTGATGGGTACTTTACACAGTAGCTATAAACAGAATAAATATATTTTATAAACACGTTTTGCAATGATCACTCAAATGTGATGATCAAACACTTGTGTGACACAGATATGTAATGGAGGCAGGGGGAATGATAGAATGAGAATTATACAGCTGAGCTGTAACCAAACTAGTTTGCATTGCATGTTATATTATATTATATTCTAAATACTGTTGCATAATCTTCACTAACAACGACTTTGTCTTTTAATTTAGTCATAACTTGTATCAATAAATATATAAAAAGTGTCACTGACAAAACCTTATTATCTTCTATTTTTACTCTTAATTCCTCTAATCTCTACCAGTGGAGGAATAACTCAGATCTTTTTACTAAAGTAAAATGAATAATATCATAATGAAAACGTTTTTAATTACATATGTACAGTACTTTTATACTATTTTTAAATAATTAGTAAGCAAAATGTACTAAACGTGAAACTAGGCTACTCTTAATGCAAAATGGCCCTATATAAAGTGTTATAATTATATACATTTTTGGAATATTGCTTGATGTTGAAACGTAGCGTTATCAGGCAGAATGAGCTTTAACACTGTGTCTACACACCGGACGCGGCCGTTATTGCTCGCGTCGCAACAGTTTACCCGAGACAAAGCAGAATCAGTTTACTGTCGGAGATCGCTCGCGCCACGCATTTTAATCAATGTTTCATCAACCAATTGCCTTAATAAATAAGAAGTAGGCCTAAATATAGCAGACAATATAATCAGGATTTCTCAGCTGCGCGCTTGCAATAGAGGGAATGCATTAACGTCACTTCCCCGCCGGAACACGCCCCCCTCAGCGGGACTGAGTGGCAGAAGAGCTGCTGCGTGACTGGAGTTAATAGGGGAAACTGCGAAAACGCGAGTAAAACAAACTATGATCAGTTTAAACTAAAAGTTGGACTCGATATAGTGTTCCTTACAACTTATCAAAGATCCAGTGATCCATGGATATTGACATGCAGCCAGGAATCGTGTTTCCTGACATTTATATGTGCCTGATTTCGACGCCGGGGAAATAAATGAAGACAATTTGCCTGTAAACGTTTTATATAAATACAATATAGATAGGTCTAAATCCGAGTGATCACTACATTAATGTTATACTGTATATCATCATATCGTCCAGCCCTAAAACTTGTATAGTTTTTTGTCAGTGTTTATTTAAAAACATCCAATTATGCAGAATATAGTCTGTTCTGTAGCTTTTTGCAGTCTATAAAAATATACAGTACCTCAGATTTCTGGTCAAATCTAGTTGTACAGTCAATCGCAAAGCTCTTTCCCGTTTTAGATGTGTTTTGTGTGATTTTCACGGCATTCACGCTGAAAACAAATGCTGCCGCTCAGTCTTTTTGCCACTTGTGGGCGTGACCGCATTCACTCCGGCCGACGGTGACGTCATGCGCATACCCTCTATAGTCACAAGCTCACACAATACGTGTCAGAGGCTTGTAGCAGAGAAATCAATTCTGTGAATTACACTGCGCAAATCACAAGTAGGCTACTACCCACCGGATGGAGAAGGGTTGGCTCTCAGTCTCCACAGGCTACATAAAATATTCATTTTATTTTATTTTATTTTTCGTGTTCGCATTTATGAGGAAAAAACCATGATGTTACAGACGCGACAGTTCAGCACTACGGACGTGAGCGCTCTGAAAGCGGCACTAAAATATGCTTTGAAACTTTCACATAGACATCAAACAGAAAGCACAAAACCTTTCGTTTCAAAGTGAATTTCGTTTTGTATTAATTGTATCTTAATTTTAATCAATGTTTCATCAGCCATTTGCCTGGATTTAATTTATATCTTAATTTAATCTCGACACGGAGGCGCCTGCGGGTGAACTGGAGCTCGTCTCATGAACCGAAACTCAGCGTATAGACCTGAGAATTGAAATATATCTATATTGAAATGTCTACTTTTAAACAGAACAATTCAAAACGAAAGACAGACAGACTCATGTAATCGTATGAAATGTGCATTTCTCTCTGGCGCGCGTTCACTGAAGATCGCGAGTCAGCATCGTCAACTTCATCTTTGGCTGACACTGACTGAAAACACTTGTTTATTAATAAACAATTAAAATGTCTCCTTGCTATATTTGTTGTATTCATAATCATTACTTTTGCCAGTTCTTGTGACAGCTTTTAGGTGCTTTATTGGCAGCGCCACCCTATGAATCACCGCACCCGCATTTTTTAAAATATTAATTTATCGGCCATTATAAATGCCTATACCGATTCTTAGGAAAATGCCTAAAATCGGCCGATAATATCGGCCCGCCGATATATCGGTCGGGCTCTAATAATTAGGGGTGTAATGCTTCACAAAATTCACATCTTTTCCTACATCTTGAAACTATTAGTTTTATAAATGGGGGTTATCTTTGAAGGATGAACAAACAATGTTTTGGTCATCACATTAAAAATAACATTTAAATATGATAATATTTGAGTTTGAAGTGCTGGAAACAGTTGTGTGACGTGTTTGTAAGCATTTTACTATTCCTGCCAATCTTCCATTGTTACAGTTAGTGTAACTACAGTAAATGTTAGTCAGTCCCTCCAGAAATACGTGATTATGCGATCGCATGATTTAGTGCATATAATCAGCCAAAGTCTGCATATTCATGCGGGGGCCTCATTTTTTTCAAATACGCCGCACTTTCGCCGCATAAATTGCCGATTTCCGTGCAAAATATGCGGGGCTTGCATGATTTCATAATCCTTGCATTTTCATTGCGAAAATGTCACATATCTTAGCAGAAAATTGAAAAATGTTGCGTTTGCTTCACACGAGAGCAGCCGTTTCCCCCTGTTGCCATGGGAACGTTGTAAAGTGACGTAATTACGCGACGTGAACATCGAAAAGCTGTAAAACAGGAGCACACTTTTTATTTTTTTTAATATTTCATTTATTCATTTTCACAGAAGTTGTAGCATATTCCTTTTGTAAAGCTACAGAACTTGTTTGACTCATCAATGTTTTGTAAGTTTGATGTGTTTATTAAGGTCTGAAAAAAAACAAGATGAGAACTGAAATATTCCCAGCACTTTCTGTGATGTAGTTATGCTTGCTTATCATAGGAAGTATTAAGAAAGGACTCTTTACATTAAAGTATGAGTGACAACAGGGTGTTGGGGGAATCACTTTTTTTCTCTCTTTTTCATCAAACTGCAGTTTTTGCAAATCCCCGCAATTTTATTGCATAAAATTGCATAAATATCCAGCATATTCCATCGCATTTTTTAAGAAAACGGGCCGCATAATCAAGGATTTTTGCCCGCAACAATCACAAAAAAAACTGTGTTTTTCTGGAAGGACTGATTAGTGTTACTGCATTAAATTCATGGTGACTGTTGCTGATCTGTGGACTTAAAGCCTATAACTAGTTCATTCATGGCACACTGTTTCTCCTGGTTTCCACTGTTTGATCCGGAGAATTTTGATTGCTTCTCACTAGATCTCGCACTGATGTTATCACTTCTGTGGCGAATTCAAATGCTTTACTGGATCTCTTAGCGCTGTGTAGCGCCGTGTCGCTTGGTCAAGATCGGCTCGCGCTGCATTGGTCCAAAGTGATAAATGGTCCGTGAAACACAAAATAACGAGTAGCGCAGTGGAGCGCACCTTCAGTCAACATGATGTGGAGAGCGCAGTTCATGGTTGCATAGCAACGACAGACGTGTTTTTAGACACGATATGTGAACGGGCGATATCTACGATCTAATACCGAAGGCTATATCAAACAGTTTTTATATCGTTACCAACAATGGTGTACCGTCGATGAATACCGATACCTTTTTATCGCCCAGCCCTAGTCTGGTATATGTGAAATTGAGTCGATTTTTGTGGGTTTTTTCTTCCAGAACAGACAACGCTGTGAAAAACCACTGGAACTCCACCATCAAGCGTAAGGTAGAGACGGGGTATTACACTGGTGTGGACACCACGCTTCAGGCTCTCCAGCAGACCGAAGCAGAGGAGCCGGCGTCTGAGGAGAGCGCTCAACAGCAGGTACTGTCAGGACGACCCGCGCTACATACACGCATCGCCATTCTCTCTCCAATCTGTTCTCAGCTTCATTTTTAACACTCAGAAGATTTTTAAGACTTCGAGAGAGATTCGCGCAAATATCTTAAAATCGATCCAGAATCATTTCTCGATTCACGGTGCATTGATTTATTGTCCCGGCCGTAATAAAAACGGAATTTACTGTATAACGTGAAATTTCACTGAATTTCTCAAATCTTGGATGAATAAATCAAAAGTAGGTCAGTAAACGTAATCAAATTGCGATATAGACTAGTGTCTGTGAATATTAAACAGCAAAAATACTATTTAAATAAGAATCCTTCATGTTCTGTGTGAATGAATGTTTTAATTTCCCACACACTGAAGCACGTGTGACGCGCGCAGTGTTTTCAGCCTATGTGAGTACCTGAATGCATGAACTTCATCTCCAGAGAGAGTCGCTTCATCAGCATTTTACCGCTTCATTTGAGAAACTATCATCATATCATAAACACAGAGAGACTCAAAGGTCTTCACGGCAACCCGTCAAAATAAAAGTTCGGTTGACTTTTGAGCAAATTACGACAGAATTGTATTACTGTTGTACAGTAGAGTTTAGCTACGTCTCAATGTAATAATACTAATAATAATTAACTTTATTTTTTAAGAAATAATCACATTCTTTTCCATGTTTTAATTTGAACAGTTAAGCTCTGTTGTGCAGCACTTTGCTTGACAAAAAAGTTTGTTTAGTTTAATTTGATTGCCATAATAATGAAAATTCACAACATATTCTGGGGGAATATTTTTACATATATATATATATATATATATATATATATATATATATATATATATATATATATATATATATATATATATATTTCATAGAATTGATTGCTAAATCATTGATTATTAAAATGTAATTAAATCATTAAAATGGATTCCAGAAAACTTAAATAAAAAAACACAGAATTTGGTAAAAAATAAAATGGAATTTGAGGGGGAAAAAACATTTCACATCACACTCACACACATTCAACACACAACTAAACATGTAATCTGTGAACATTTTAATAAATTATTGTTAAATTGTATGCTTCATGATTTCAATTAATTAGACATGCTTTTTGAATACTTAAATTTTATTTACTATTCAAGTAGGAGTCCAAAAATTTGTAAAATTACAAAGGAGTTTGTAAAAAAAAACAGAAATAAAAATGGATTTCATAGGGCCCTAACTTTCAGCCGTGTTTTGGAGTGCAGATTATAAGCAGTTGATAATGTTTCCAGATTAACGCTGATGATTTGTGTTTAGGTGGAGTTTTGCTATGATGGAGCCAGTGAGGGACTACCAGGCCAAGTCTTAAAGCAGGTATAAACATGAAAACGTTCTGATTTGAAATACAAAGTATTATATTATAGTAATTATATCACACAAAGTCAATTGTAGGCCTGTTTCTCATATCCTGTTTAGAACTGGTTCTGTTTTTAAAAATGACTGAGCCTTCATTTAACAAATAAGCACATGACTTCCACACTTGTGCAGGATCCTGAAGCACAGGAGAAAGCCACGACTGCTCCACAGAAAACGGCTTCTCCCAAGACACCCAAAAGTGAAGCTGGAGACTCGAACGTGTCCACCTGGGTGATGGACAGCTCCGGGTTCCTCTCTCCGTCAGCCGCCCCGACACTGAAGGAGGTGATGGAGCTGATGGACGGCGTGAGTTAAACACTAAAAACTACATATCAGTCAAAGCATTATGAGCACTTTACGCGATATCATAGATCATCTCCTAACAAGGCCACGTATTAAGATCTGGGTAGATTAGATGGTCAGCAAACAATCCGTTCTCGTAATCAACGTGTTGGACGCGGGACAAACGGGCAGGAGTAAAGATCTGACGAGGGACAGTGTTATGACTGGGTCAGAGGAAACTCCACAACCCTGAAAATAACTAATAAATATCCTTATTTATTCTCAAACATGCGTTATACGTTTTTGAAACGTCACTAATTGTGCTTTAGGGATGTCAAATAAAAAGTACAATATTTGTCAAATTTAAAATAAAAATCCACATTTTAGGTGTGTGTCTGACGCACGGGATGCGATGATGTCGTTGTTGCGTTTTAATGTGTGTTTTTTTTGTCTATCCAGTGGAATGCATAAATACATGATGCTGTTTTGTCCATAATTGTTTTATGCAATTTACAAAATTGTATTTGATTTATGATAGGGATAAGAAAATTTTGGCCGATACAGATAATTCTTGATATTTTAAACCGATATATTGGCAGATAAATCTGAATCTAAATTTTATATAATAAATAAGCCATGTCAGTCATAATGATGTTCTCAATATAATTTTTTGTTGTCTATATGACAGACTTGCGCTGCACATTTTCCTTTTTTAAGTGATTCCAATCATATTTCAAGCAATTCAAAACCATCCGAAAGTAATCATCATTTATCAGCTTTAATATATCGGCCAAATTTTCTAATCGGGCCGATAACGATTAAATAAAAATTGAGCATTTATTTACCGATATGGTGGCCGATATATGCATCCCTAATTTCTGAACGTTAGTTTAAACGTTATGCACTTTTATATTTTACAGAGTCATGTTATTTCATTGCTGTGAATGAACAATGTATTGCGGTGCATTAATGTGTTGCTCTTGGGCCTCAGGAGACGAGCCTAAAAGCTTTTTTTACTCTAACTGAGATTATGCCTTTTAAATTCAAATTCGAATATAAGTAGTATTTACATATAAAGTTGTAATATAGTTGTTCAGCCATTTTGACAGCCCTAATTGTGCTTTTTCCATGTAAACGGAGGAACCGTTTTGACTGCAGTGTCAGTTTGAGACATTATGAGGTTTGTGTAGCGAGTAGAGATGCGTCACCCGAGTCCACAGCCTAAACAAATCACAGAATTTCATTTTCTTAATGGCATAAACAGGCCACGCACAAACACCTCAGCCGTTGCATATTGCATACCCAGCACTTGATTCATCCTCGTTAACCACTTCGCTAAACCGCTCCCACACGGTACTTTTCTTTCTTTCTTTCCTTTTGTTTTTAATTCTTCTTTTTTACTTCACTCTCGGACCTGCTCCAGTTCTGCTTAAAAAAGCATATATTTTTTAAAGAGAGTGCAAATTAGTGCCTGTCTGCCTGGCAGATTAAAAATGACATTTTAGACATGCTCATATTTTAGATAATTGTATAAATACAATTTTTAAGTGTAAGTTTCAGCAGATCCCTTGAGTGGATCTGCCGGGGACTAAAGGAGTGTGTCTGAGCAGTGATGATGGTTCCCCCAGCAGGATCTGGAGGGCTGGTGTACGATGTCCGACTTCGAGCTGCCGGAGGACAGCCAGAGCTCAGAGCTCCTGCAGTTTCGTCTGGAGGGAAGCGCTCTACAGGAGCTCAGCAAGAGCAGTAAAGGAGAGCTCATCCCCATCTCCCCCGGCGGAGCAACACCTCCGTCAATCCTGAGCCGCCGCAGTCGCCGGCGCATCGCCCTCTCGCCCGACCCCAACGACTCCATGACCCCGAAGAACACTCCCGTCAAGATCCTGCCTTTCTCGCCCTCACAGGTACAGCAGCACGTCAAGATCCTTTCTCTGCAACAGCAGTGTTGGGAGTAATCTGATTACATAACTCAAGTTACGTAATCAGATTACTTTTTCAAATAACTAGTAAAGTAACGCATTACTTTTAAAATTGACAACAAAATATCTGAGTTACTTTTTCAAATAAGTAACACAAGTTACTTTGTTTACCCATTTATTGACTGACAGTCCTCTTGTCCTTACACAAATCGCAGTGCAGAGGCGTTGTGTGTAAACATGCTGCCAGCGCCATTACATGCAAGCCACTGATCTTATTTCAGGCATTTGACAAAAACCCCTTCAAAAAACCATCGACTTCAGGATGATTGAACCTGAAGTGCTAAAAACACGTTTCTGTACGCTCAGTTAAAATGAGCCGCTGTTGCACGTTCTACAAGTTGTGCTTTCACTGAATCACACGCATTTATACCAAGAGCAACATCCAGGATCAGTATTTTTTTTTTTCTATTTATTTATTTAAAGGTGCATTGTGTAATATTTAGGAGGATCTGTTGACAGAAATGCAATATAAAATACATAACTATGTTTTCAGTGGTGTATTAAGACCTTACAAAATGAACCGTTGTGCGTTTATTAGCTGAGAATGAGGCGTTTCTCTCTACACACACCACGGGTCCGCTTACATCGGCCTGTTTCTACAGTGGCCCTAAACGGACAAACACGTATCGTCACTATGTTGTTCTTAATGCAAAGAAGCGAACTAAAGTCAGCGAATAAAACACTGACACAATGATGAACAAGTAACGATAATATTCGCAATAACATACCGTTTTACTGAATAATTAAGTAAACCTTATTTCTTAATTTATCTTTGTAAAGAAACCTCATTGCTTAACTGGCTACTCTCTGCTGTCTCAAACGACGACATCACTTCCTGTCGGCCACCGTAACTTCTGTTGGGTGCAATTCGCATCATCACCACTAGATGCCGCTAAAAAACACACAGTGCACCTTTAAAAAAGGGACAGTGTACATTAAAGCAGCACTAAGTAGGACTTCCGTTTTTGTCAAACAGCGACCCCTAGAGTCGCTGTGGAGTATTTGTACTGTCGTGAATAGCACTCACGCAGAGATGGCTCGCACTTACGGCCGGATCCCCTCCCCCTGTACACCGGTACCTGTTCAGTAGGATGGACGCTGTAACGAGTGGAAATAAGGTATGGCCCCTCTAAGAGCTGCGCGCGCCCAACACCACATGTATACGGCGCCGGGTTATTTCTGTTTGATGCTCATTTTATCCGAATTTTATCAGATCTGTTTTTTTGCCGTAAAGCAGTTTGTTACCTCGCGAGACCTGATATTACACGATACTTCCTAACACTGAGGCCGGCGGCTCGCCGGCCCAAAGTTGCAAGGGTGGTTTTGCGGCTCACAGGCACCAGGGGGGTGCGAGACGACCACCATTCAACACGAAATCAGTAATATAAACATTACAATGACTCCAAAGCTGTTCGGTTAAGGTAAAAAAGTTACTTAGTTCACCTTTAATCAACATTCATGAATGTAAATGTACCCAAATTAGCCCGAAAATGAATTATATTAAAATAAACAATTTATACCTTAGATGGCAACGTCTTGATATTATAATCCTATTATACTATTTTTCACAAATTTAAGAATATAACATTTTAAATAAAATGATTTATTTGACAGAACTGTTAAATAGAGATAGTCAAAGAATGAAGGCAGGCAGCTATTACATATTTTCTGGGCCAACCCATAATTTCGCATTTCACTGATTTCCCACTACAAAAACCTAATAGGATTTTTTTCAATTGGCTTTTGGATAATTGCAGAAAATAAGCTCTGTGACTAACAAAAGTTTATGATTCTTACATGTTTTGTTTATCATGATAATCTTCACAAATGAACAACTTGAAGCCTAAATAGAATCAGCAGAAGTAAAAAGCTCAACTATAAATCAACTACATCACAGTCACATGACTTCAGCTTCATGCAACAATTCTTTCAGTCTTTATTATTTAAAAAAATATTTTCCCTGAAAGTGTGAGTTAGAATAGTTTGCAAGAGCATGATCGTAAACTCGTCTTATTTCAGGCATTTTACAGAAACTCGTTGACTGGACGATGGAACCTGAACTAATTAGAAACATGTTTCCAGGTTTTATAAAGTCAATATCAGTCGATCTCTATTAATAAATCTAAATTTGAGCTCTGCACATTTCAAAGTTAAAATGTAGCGCTGTTGTGCTTTCACTGAATCACACACATTTATACAAAGAGATTGCTCTGATCTACTGTATATAAATTATGACAATGTTTATATACCTGCAAATGCGTCGCCTTTCGGCAAGGAATGTGTTGATGCTATTATCTCTTTTTTTTTATTACCCCCATATAATTCCTGATAACGTAGTGTTTATAAGCGCAGCGCTGCTTTGTGTTCAGGCGAAACCAGTTTATTTCTGCTGTTCCATAAGCGGCATTACTGTCAGAGTCAATTTGCATTTTCATTCAGCCGGTGCATCGAACAGAAGCTAGTGTGTGTGTGTTATAAAAACAAATCTAAATTTAATCATTTATGATTTTTGACCCATCTCTTTTCTTTAAAAAAAAAAAAATGGTTTAAAGGCTGAAATTTTATAGAAGGTTTAACCATTTATAAAACTTTGTTTTTTATCAAAACCTGCATTATTTGAAATGTAGAGTTGTTTAAATGGTCATTTTATGGTTTGGATGTTAGCATAGACCTTGCTCTCCCCTGCTCATATGATATTAATTGCATTTGTGCATGTCTTAAAAACCTTTGATTTTAAAAACCCAGCAGAGACTAACACTTGACTTTTGTTTCAGAAAGCCTTTTTTTTTTTTTTTTTTTAAGCAGTGTCTATACTCATCTCATATTTATTTACTGTAAAATAGCCTTTAATTTTAACACTATCACCTCAATGTTTTCACAGTTCCTGAACATGTGGACGAAGCAGGACACGCTGGACCTGGAGAATCCCTCTCTCACGTCCACGCCGGTGTGCAGCCAGAAGGCTGTGGTCACGACTCCTCTGCACCGGGACAAAACCCCTCTCACACAGAAGGAAAACTCACTGTATGTCCCAGCATGCCTTCACATACAGCTGGATTCAGATCATTTGAGTTCGGCTAAACCGATATTTTCCCCTCCTGTAGGTTCATCACTCCAAATCACAAATCTGATCTGGATACGACGCCTCGTACGCCAACTCCGTTTAAAAACGCCATGGAGAAGTACGGCCCTTTGCGGCCACTGGTGAGAGACTTCTTATAATTGAAGGCTCATTACTTTTAAACATCAGCTGTCCTGTTCTAACATGCAGTTCTCTGAAGGCTGATCCCCTGTTTGATATTCCAGTTTTGATGCTTTGAGATTTAAAAAAATCGTTTTTTGTATCTTTGGTTTTCTTAAGCCTCCGACACCAAATATGGAGGACCTTAAAGAAGTGTTACGCAGTGAAGCTGGAATTGAGTTGATCGTAGAAGATGAAACTCCTACTGAGAAGAGACGCAAACAAGTGGTAAGAGGAAATATACTGTCATGTACAAGCAGTTTCCAGATTATTACTGTAAGCTACATTGTACCTTTAATACATCCTGTGAGCATTAGTGAGTACACACACACACACACACCAAGTGTCCTGTGACCATTAGTGAGTACACACACACACCGTGTCCTGTGAGCATTAGTGAGTACACACATGCTACTGTGTTAAGTTGCGTATGCGTCGCACTGTACAGCCCTGTTTCCTAAGTATATTTTACACTACAGTAGGGAAATGACAATTCTTTTTTTTTTTTTTTAATTTCTACACTTGAATGACAAATGATGAGCTTTTATTTGAACAGAAAACTACAGTTTCCGTGAAAACAGGTTTACAAATGCATCTCATTACACATCTAGTGAAATGCTGTAATCCGCTTTCTAGAGGAATGTTAAATTAAGCAAGTGTAACTGGTGACCGCTACGTTCCCAAATGCCCGCTAAACTCCCAGCATGTGCAGAGAGAGAGTTCACTGCATTCATTCACTGTGAGCTGAGCCGCTCTGAGCCGTGGAAAACTCCGGATCACGAGCTGATCGTGTGCGCAAACCGATGGTCTATTACGATTAGTTAAGGTTTTTACGATTTTGGTTCGTTTGACAGATACTTTGCTAAAGCAATGGCGCACAACAACTACATTAAAGACCTTTTATGTTATTATGAGAAGATCTAATATATTTTGGGTTGATTATGAACCTGCGGGGGACAGATTACATGTTTGGCTGTTAGAGTCTAGGTAGTGAACGGGAAACACTGATTCATCCGGCTTTATGGCTCATACTTGAGAAAAATACGCCTCGATTTAATACAATTCTGATAGCTTGCCAATCAATGAGATTTTTTAAAAACATTGTAGCAAACTACTAGGGCTGTAACGATACACGATATAAAATCGAAATCGCGATACTCAGGTCCACGATCCTGTATCGCGATGTGAGAAGGCAGAATCGCGATCACAACCCTTCCAACTCCCAGAGTTATCCTTCCTGTCCAGAACCAATGCTACCACATCTTTAAATTACTACTGTATTAGTATTATTTGAAGTTAACATTATAAAATACGTAGACCTACACCACAAAACTAGTTGAGGATAAATTATTTAAAATGTGGCAATTTCAGCGTTATGGACGTGAAATTTGCAGCCAAAACAAGAAATATAAATTCTCAGAAAGTGCATTTAATACAAATATATTGACACTTCTGTTTATATATCCATAGCCTACTCCCTTAATAAAGTCCAGTACATGTCCAGACATTAGAAAAATATAAGTCTACACATGCATTTTATATTTAATATGAGGGAAATACACACGCGTACACGGACGCGACACAAAACATCTTTAATTTTTAGGTGGCAAAAAATATATATTTTTTATAATTCTGTAAATTACACTGTACAAACCAAAAGTAAAAGGCTACTAGGCTACCCATCGGATGAAGGAGGGTTGGCTCTCCCCAGAACATAAAATATTCATTTTGTTTTATTTTTCGTGTTCGCATTTAAGAGGAAAAAACAATGTCGTGACAGTTCTTTGGAAGCGGCACTAAAACTTTCAGAGACCTCAAACAGAAAAGCACAAAGACTTTCTTTAAATTGAATTTCGTTTTGTATTAATTGTATCTCAATTTTAAATATAGCTGCGAGCAGCGATTACGGGCCCAAGCCGGTGGCACCGCAACCCCGGTGCCTTTAGTTACCTAAAGGCACCGGAGTGGCGGTGCCGCCGGCTTTGGCCCTTCATCGCTGCTCGCAGCTATATTCATATATATATATATATATATATATATATATATATATATATATATATATATATATATATATATATATATATATATATATATATATATATAAACAAGCCGGTGGCACCGCCACCCCGGTGCCTTTATATATATATATATGTCTACATTGTTCAATCACGCCTCACACACACACACACACTTTTGCAGAGCCCACACCAATGCAAGCTCTATAGCACACATCTTCTCAAAGGTCAAAGCGGAGTTACGATATTGCCCGTCATGCACAGTAACCCTAAAGGCACCGGGGTGGCGGTCCCACCGGCTTGTTTATATATATATATCGTATTATTCTAACTTGTAAAAAACTATTAACTTTTGTTAATATTCAACCATTTCACAACTAACTTTTTTCCATAGATCAAACACAACATAATTATATGGTGGACTGAAACAAAAATTATTAATTAAATAAAATTATTGTTTTCCTCTGAAATAGCAAAAGCATCACACACTAGCTGTACCTGCTCTAAATAAAAAATAGTAATTCAATAAAAATACAAAATCGAACTAAATAAAATAAATTATTACAAAAACAAAATCAAACCAAAGAAAATATATCTTCGAAAAAAAAAGCGAGTGTCATGAGGAAAGGCGCCTCAGGAATCGTCAGGATTAACTCCATGTGTAAGGAATTTTGATTGATTTTATTTGTCACTTGAAAATTATTGTTAAATGTGTGCCTGCATAACTTTAATAAGATTTATTTTCTTTGATTTGATTTTGTTTTATATAATTTATTTATTTCGATTTTGTATTTTTATTTAAATACTATTATTTATTTAGAGCAGGTACAGCTAAGTGTGCGATGCTTTTGCTATTTCAGAGGGAAAAAAACACATTTTATTTCAAAAAGGCTTTTCAATTAAATAAAATGTTCAAGCTTTGTTTTCGTTTTATTATTTTGTTTGTTTTAAGCTTTGTTTAATTTATATTGTTAATCATCTGACACAAAACAAATGCATAAAGTATCATTTTAACTTTTAAAAAACTATTAACATTTGTTAATAGTACATTGCCTGTCTTTTGTTAATAGGACAAAACATAGTTATTATATTTTATAATATTTTATAAATATATAAAATAAACATTTGTAATGAAATCGTTCAAAAAAATGATATTAGCATTGTTTTAAACTTTGAAACAGAAGTAGCGCAATGCCTGGCCACTCCCGCGCCGCCTCCTTTTCACAATCCGAGGGAACCGTCTCCGGAATATTAACCTCACTCCTAGAAGTCCAATTCTCATTATTCATGCCTCTTACCTGGGATTGATTGCACACACACACACACACACACACACACACACACACGCACGCACGCACGCACTCACACGCACACACACACACACACACACACGTGTCAAGTCACTTACATTTTAGATGCAATGTTGACTGTTCTTCTGTTTCAGCAGCGAAAATAGTTAAACAAAGATCACAGCAGAACCATTGCATCTCACAGCAACGTGTTTTCTCATTACTGAATGATTCAGCATTTTGAACAAATTGGTTGACTCAAAGATTCAATGACCTATCCATAAACATCTGTCTCATTCATGAATGACTCAGTCGTTCAAACGAATCGTTTGAACGAATGAATCAATGACCCGCTCATTAAGACGGTCGCCTGGCGACACCTAGTGACGGTTTAGTGTTATTTGATTATACACTCAAAATATTCCACAACAAATCCTTTAAATTTAATGATATTCAGAACAGAACACGAATAAAAAAATAACTATAATAAAGCCAAAATGAAATAATTTAAAACAAAAGTAAAAGTAAGTGGTGTTAGGCTCACGTAAATCTCTCTTTAGAATCTAAATGTTGCAACATTTGCGATGTATTTGGATGCTAAACTATTCTTTATTACAGGCTTTGTACTTCACTCACGTTCCAATATCGACGGAAAAAATCATCCTCTTCACTTGTGCAAAAATGTGCTTGGAAAAATCACAGTGGAGCGGTGCTTACTGTGAATGATACAAATTGTACTACTGACTATTTCAACATAGCAGTGTAATTTGTATATGTTAGGTTGAATGTTTTATTATTGTGTGTGTGTGTGTGTGTGTGTGTGTGTGTTTGTGTGTGTGTGTGTGTGTGTCAGTGTGTGTGGGGGGGTCTGGGTGGCTCAGCGCGATTGAACAGTGAAACATACTCCGTCATTTTCTTCATACAGGACATCATTCAAACGTCAAAGTGTTTACTTATATTTGTGTACACTCGCAATAAAACACAACATTGTGTTTTTGTTAAATAAATTAAAGTAATACGTCCCCCGAAATGGCGCTAATTTTAAAATGAAACTAAAATGCTCACGGCTGCACGGGCATTCATAACTCTGCGCGCCCACGGTGAGGGACGAGCAGAACAGAGCGAACGTTGTTTAGTTCATTCCTACTTCCATAGGAATTAATTGAAAAAGCTCACTCTACTCTGCACCATTATTAATGAATTGTGCAGACGTCCTTATTTTACTTTCGCTTTTTACCTGATTTTGAACACAAGAGGGCAGTATAACACTATGTATGATTTGGAAAAAAATTTTTTTTGACTAAACAACCATTCTGGCTGTTTTTAAACTTAAACATTATTCTCTAATTGCTCTCACCATGCCCGTTTCTGAAACTCTGCACATGTCTACTGTCTAATAAATGTGATGTGTCTGTCGGGTTTCATGCAATTTCAAGTATGTTAAGAGTCTCAAAAGCATCAACAAAGAATAATAAAGTTTGATGCGTTGCCACGGCAACAGTATCTAAGAGATCAATAATCCTTTCTCAGGTCTACATCTGCCGTGTGTCTACATTATACACATAAAGTTTGAAGCAAATTGGGTAAAAATAAGAGGGTGATTTCAAAGCCTTTAGGAAGTGACACACTTCCTGCTGCCAGTTGGTGGCGCTATAACTTTGACTCACAATAGTCACATCCATGTGATCGGACTCTTACAGCGAACACACTGCTGAAGTTTCATCAAGATCAGTTAATGTATGCAGAAGTTATAACACACTTCCTGTTTCCTTTATTCGCCATAAATTCGTTTCCTCGCCACGGCCAAACCGTTCGAGATATCAAAAATCCCCTGGCAACTTTTCATCCTCAATGTCTTGACTTCATGCTGACCGAGTTTCGTGGCGATTGGTTGAATTCTCTAGGAGGAGTATATCGAATTCCA